ACATGTTCTCAAGCTGTGTGTATGGCTTCCACTTGAGTTCTGGGGATCTGAACTCGGGTGTTTGCACTTACATAGCAAGTGCTTTTATCCCCGCAGCCATCTCCTCAGTCCCAAACTCTGTCTCTTACTCTCTGTATACACTCAGCAAGCTTCTATTCACGAAGTTAATAATTCCCTCAATACTAAACAATTATTTATTATCTGTCTGCATCTGTGGGGTGCATCCTGTCACTCCGAGTGGCTCTCATGTGGAGTGCTGAGGACAGCTCTTGGGAGCTGGTTCTCTCCTTCTCCCTCTAGGTGGGTTCCAGGGATTGAACTCAGGTCTGGGCTTGCTCGCAAGTGCCATTCCTCACGGAGCCGTCTCAGCCGCCCTGCTCATCGCTCTGTAAAAACTAGTGTTTGCCAACAACTCCTGCAGCTGCCTATTCCTGAAAAGGGTGATTCCCTGGGGAAAAGCTTAAGGTACTATAATTAGGCTGAACACCTTAGAAGTGGAATCCCATGCTTTTACTTTAGAAGCATGAGAGGGATCTGAAAGTTACCTGGGCAGCTCTAGAGAGCCGCACTGCTATTTAACTTTTTTATTTCCCACAAACTAACACTAAAATAGAAACTTTTATGGACGAGTAAAGCCTATTCATGGTAGAAAGTAATTGCTACTGCCTGAGATGTCAAGGAGTCGTTTTCTAGGACAGAATCTCCTAAGACACCTGAAAAATTAAAGGAATATAGCCTTTTTCTGTTGTTTTACTACTAGTAATAAAACACACCTCTCTAGCTTCCCCCAGCTGTTTCTTTCACATAATATAAACTATGATATCACAGCAAGACTGAAAGCAAATGACCCCACGAGACTGAGTATGTGACAAAGGGGCCCTTGTGTTTGGAAGTTCGTATGCTGCAGAGCCACTGAGGTGCCTGGGTCGGTCTCCTTCCTGGGAAGAATGAAGACTGAGCACGTGACTTCCAGAATCTAGTCTAACCTCAGAATCCCAGAATGTGTGTGTGTGTGTGTGTGTGTGTGTGAGAGAGAGAGAGAGAGAGAGAGAGAGAGAGAGAGAAAATCTTTGGCACTGAGGGAAGTCATGATACCATTTCTTCCCTTTAATTGTAACCGTCTCTTGAATCTCCAGGCTGTGGTTTGCCTTCTGTGGTTGCTGTCGGCCCAGCAGGCATTCTGCACCTGTACTTTCCTCCTGGATTGCAGGGTGCCCCCTCTTCTGTGCTCTCACCTCTATGTGCTTCAAAAGAGAGGCCGTTTCCTTATGACACTTCTGACAGCTCTCTCCTCTTAACAAGGCATGTTGAGGACTCACTGTTTGTTAGGTTTTGGATTCGACTGGGGAGACAGAGATGAAACATTCTCTGTCCTGAAGTTTGATGGCAGAGACAGCAAGGGAAAGAAGATTCCAGTTCAGCTTCATTAAGTTGTTTGGCAGAGAGACGCCAGTTAGCTTAGGCACAGAGTCGCGGAAATAGGGAGAAAACTCTCAAAGAACAGATGAGATTATACTGCCCCAAAGTGGAGAAAAGTGGTCTGCAGGAAGAGGGGCGAGAAGTACAGAGGCAACCTTGGGGGTCGTGGTGAGAAAGCAGCATGAAGTTTAAGGTAGCAGAGGACAGGGCAATTGCACCAAGGAAGGAGAGAGCCACGGAAAAGCCCATCCATTCAGCAGGGCCTGACTGCCGACGGGAGGAGTGCTTGCTTTACTCTGAATGCTGTCGGAGGCTGACAAATGTGGTGAGCAGGAGAGCGGCCCAACTGTAGGCATTTGGGGGAACGATCACCTGAGCAGCACTGTGGAAGCAGCCTTTGAGGAAGACAAGTCATCAGACATTTCTGTAAGCTTGGTGAGAAGTAATTAGGGCTGGAATGAAGACATGGTTCAGAGAGAGAGAGAGAGAGAGAGAGAGAGAGAGAGAGAGAGAGAGAGAGAGAACACATAGAGGTGCCAGATGAACAGACGTGAAGACAAAAACGGGAGAAGATGGAGGGTGACTCCCAGTCCCCACCTGAGTGTCTCAGTAGGGAAACTCAACAAGACCGGAAGCATATGAAGAAACACCTGCAGAAAGGAGATTCAGTTTTGTTTGACTTCTGTTATGAGGCCATCTGACTCCGAAAGGACGTAACTGAAGTGGAAAGGTGCCATCGGTGTCTGTGACGCTAAGAAGGAGTCCCAGTATGTTAGGGACTGGCAAAGAGAAGAACTCCAGGAGGAGGCTCAAGCGAATGCCCCACACCCACACTCCCTCCCTCCTCTCAAAGCAAGAGGGTGCTGCTCTGACCAAGCTCATGTCTCTCTTGCTGGCCATTTGTGCCCCTTCAGGCCTTGCTCCACCAATGGCCCTGACCCGTCTTATTCCTTCTGTAAGGTTACATAGGTGGGAATGTCTCCATAAAAACCAACAAGGACCCTTCTGAGTCATGCTTCTTCCAGTTTCTACTCTCCTCCATTTCCTATATAAATTCCAGACAAAAGGGTCTCACCATCCTAAGTTCCTCATTTTCTACTCAGCTGGCCCGAAGCAGTCTGGCTTCTGCCTCTCCTATTTCTTCCAAAGGCCTCAGTATGACCCACAGGCGTCTTCCGGTTGTCTAACCCAGTGGCGGTCACCCACCTCTTCACTCTCTGAGGATTCTCTTTTCCCTTCTCTCACTGTGCACTTCCTGGGCAGCCTGACACATGGCTCTCATTTCCGGTGCCAGACCCAGACATCCATGACCTCCGGAACCTATTCTGGCTTTCAGAAATGAGGCAGAAAAATAAACATATATGATGTGTTGAATTTTTAAGAAGCAACGTGCTTTGGCATGTTCTGAACTGTAATGCCGCCTTCCTTCTGCACTGCCTTTGAGTCCCCTAGTCCTATCCTCTATATACCCTCTGCTGTTAACGCTGCCAAAGAAAGACGAGAAACGTCCTGTGCACAGTTACAGCCCTCATTCCACAGATTCAGCCAAGTGTCAACGCTAGAGGGCATTTACCAAGTTTCTTTCGGACCTGCCACACTTCTACACCTGTGCCATGAGTGCCTTAGCTCAGAACCTTACAGTCTATTTATAGACTATAACCATATCATCTTAATGGGTTGTGTCTATCTTCAGCCAAACACTTTTTACCCTCTGGGACAACTGTATGGATCTAAGATACAATATATACAATATTAGATGACATCTGGCAAGTTTTAGGGGAATTATATGTGTGTGTGTGTGTGTGTGTGTGCTGGGACTAAACTCATCCTCACACACTATAGGCAAATGCTCTAACATTGCGTTATTCTCTGTGCTGTCTTTTTTTTTTTGAGCGCGTCTATGAAGTGCATGGTGACCTCAAGTTCATGGTCCTCACCACCTTGAGTACTGGGATGCCAAACTGCGCTGTCGGGGTGGCCCTCGCTTTCATGACGCTGGGCTTTTGTAACTACTACGTAGTCACTAAGTGTGTGCTGAACTGCCGGTTATTTCTGGGCAGAGGGAAAAATCTAAGAGTTGTGTCACGTAGGAGATGGCTGGAAATCACCGCCAGCCGCCCGCGTGCAGGACCAGGCCTAACCCCTGGGTGGCGCACGCGCAGCTCCCACCAAGGAGTCAGCGCTGGGGCGGGGGCGGGGCCTCCGACCCCGGAATCCTCCGAGGTCATCCCGCGACCCGACCCTCGAGGAGCCGAACCCTCAGGTACCTGGTAGGAGCCGCCGGTCAAGGCCAGCTCCGCCAGGACCGCCCGGCCATTAGCAACGCAGCTGTAAGTGGTCGTCATAGCCCGCCGGCCAGTGAGAGACGGGACTCGCGGGTTCTAACCGTTCGCCGCAGCCCGGCCGCCGCTCTGCGCAGGCGCGAGGAGTGGTTGATTGGCAGGGGAGGAGGCGGGACCACCGTGGGTGCTGCAGAGCGGATCCGTGAGCCGGTGAGGGCAGGTCACAGAAGATGCTGCGGATTGGAGAGGTCTCTGTCCTCCTGGTCGTCCGTCAAAACATTTAAGAGCGGTTTAAATGCTCAGGCCTTACCTACGTGTGATTCAGTCAGTCTAAGACACGGGGAAGGAGACCTGGTTTTAGAATACAGTTCACTGACTGCGGAGCTGGGGAGTAGGTAAAGTCTCCCACGGAGATTGGAGTTCGGGTCCCCAGAACCCACGTTAGTGGTGATGGTGCACGTGCCTTTAATCTCAGCATTCAGGAGGTAGAGACAGGTGGATCTCTGTGAGTTCGAGGTCAGCCTGGGCTACAAGAGCTAGTTCCAGGACAGGCTCCAAAGCTACAGGGAAACCCTGTCTGGAAAAACCAAAAAACAAACAAAATCTTATTGTGTTGGTCAACTACTCCCGAGAATGGGGGCTGTCTCGGAGTTCAGTTGATACACTCAGTGACACGCCATTGAACAAATATTATTTTCCCTTTCCCAGCAGGTATCAATTGTAAATAGGTTGACGGTCAGGGGTGGGACTTTGTGCGCACTTCCCCTTCTCAGTACTGGGGTTTTGTGAGCTGTGGAGGCCTTGTGTGTGCTGGTGCAATGTCTGTGAGTTTATATGAGCATCAGTCCTGCTACATCTGGAAGACACTGTCTCCTTGGAGTCATTCATCTCCTCTGGCTCTTAGAATCTTTCCACCTCCTCTTCTTCATAGATTCCTGAGTCTTGAGGGGACAGTTTTGATAAAGATACACCATTTAGGGCTGAGTGCTCCAAAGTCTCACTCTCTGCACATGGTCCAGTAATGGATACCTGTGTTGATATCTACTATAAGCAAAAGCTTCTCTGCTGAGGATCAAGTATTGCTCTGAGATCTGTGGGCCTAGCAATCTGTCGTTGGGGGTCATTTGATTTCTGATGCTGTAGCAGAATAATAGTAGCAGTACTTCCCTTGGGCTCATGACCTATCTAACCTCAGGTTATTGGCTACTTTAGTAGTCACATATGAGTCCCACCTCATAGAGTGGTTGGAGGGCTAGAGAGGTGGCTCCACGGTTACGAGCCTTGGCTGCTTTTGTGGATGACTAGAGTTCAGTTTCTAAAACCCTCATGGCTGCTCCACCATCTCTAACTCCAGTTCCAATGGATCTAACACCTTCTGACCTCTGTGCGTATCAGGTATTATATGATGCACAAACATACATGTATGCAAAATACTCATACAAATTAACAAATCTTCATACAAATTAACAAATCTTTGGAGTTGTATCAATGGTGTAGAGCTCTTGCATAGGACCTGGGCTAAATTCCACATGATAGTTCACAATGATCTGACCCGGGAGATCTGATGCCTTTTCTGATCCTTGTGCACATATATACATGCAGGCAAAAGTACCCATAGAATACAATAAAATAAATCTAAAAACAGTTGTTGGTTGCTCCCATGACATTTATGCTACCATTAGGCCAGTTTATCTTGTGAGTTCTGTGCTCTGCTATTGGTTGCGTGGTTTGTAGCTGGGTGAAATCAATTGTTAGTTTTCTCCTCCAGTAGCATGCAAAGTTCTTTTCAGTACCGTGAGTGCTAGTTGATAGGGGTGAATCTTCTGTCTGGGCATCTGTTTGATTTCTCCGTGTTTGATGACATAAGCAAACCGTCTTTAGCAATAGGCCTTGCCATTGGGTTATGAATCAGCTTATTTTCTTTTGAAGTTTTGAGATTATAATACAGTTACAGCATTTCTCCCTTCTCTTTCCCCCTTCCAAACCTTCCGATGTGTCCCTCCTCGCCTCCTTTAAATTCATGGCTTCTTTTTGTCACTGATTGTTGCTGTACACATATATTACATGTATATACATATATATGTATTTCTAAACATAACTTGTTCACTCCATATGATGTTACTTTATATTGTATACTTTATAATGTGTATCTTCAGGGATAACTGTTTGGCCCTGAGCAATCAGTTGGTGTGTTCTCCTTGGGGAACACCACCTCTCTTCCTCTCAGCTTTATTCAGCTGCCTACAGTTCTTTGTAGGGCTGAGGCCTCGTGGGCTTGTCCCCATCAGTGTGGCATGTCCATCGCTGTCATCCTTGTTCCGCTCATGTTTGGCTAGTCATGCTGGTGAGACTTTGTGGGTGTAGCTTTCGAAGTTACTAGGAGATATCATCTCATAGCAAACTCCCTGCTCTTCCACAATGTTCCCTGAGCCTTAGGTGTGGCGAGAGTGTTCTAGAGAGGTATCCATTGGGGCTGGGCTCGACAACTCTGCATTTTGATCAGTTGTGGTTTTCTGTAGAGGGTCTCTCTACATTTCCTTGATGAGGGGTGAAGACTACACTTATCTTTGGGGATCAGGACAAATATTTGTTGATGGAGACTGCTCGTTCAACCATCTAGACCTAAATAATCACACAGAAACTATATTAATTATAACACTGTTCAGCCTATTAGCTTCTTATTAACTAACTCTTACATCTTACATTAGCCAATTTCTATTATTTTATATTTTACCATGAGGTTTGTGGTTTGTTACTTCTTGTTTATTGGGCAGCTACATGGTGTCTCCTCAACTCTGTCTAGTTTTTCTCTATATATATCTTCCAGCCTGACTATATTCTGCCCTGCCATACACCAAAGAAGATTTTTCCACTAACCAGTAAAAGCAACACATACACAGAAGGACATCCCACTTCGAATGTTTATAGATTGTTGTTAGGGATTATGATAGTTTAGTAAATGAGAGGTTGTAGATTCTCATCTAATAACTGTGACTTCACTAACTTCAAATGGTTAGTTAAAGCTTCAGCACCAACCATGATTTCTCTCTTGTTGAGTGGGTCTTAAGTTCAATTAGAGAGCTGTTGGTTATTGCCAAGCTATGCATGCCACTACTGCACACTTGGGATTATCTTGTCACGCTAGTCACTGGTGTGGCTCCTAGGCGTAATAGCTGGGTAGGAATGTTGGTTGTCTCCCTCCTTTGGAAGCCTGCAGGGTGCCTTCTGATGTCATGAAAGCTAGTCCTCAGAGAGTAGGATTCAGGTCAGTTCCAGCTCAGGGGTCTCTGGGCTCTGTTTCTGAAGTTTGTGGTATCTTCGTCAGCCAACTTTATTATATATCCCAGGATCACCTGCCCAGGAAATAGCACCAGCCGCAGTGGAATGGTCCTCCTGCGTCAGCTATCAATCAAGAAAAGCCCCACAGACAAACTGGATAAAGGCTCAATTGAAACTCCTCAGGAAATTCTAGGCTATGCCAAACTGACAATGTCAGCTATGGTATCCACCCATACTTGCTGTGGGAAAATGTTCTGTACACTGTAAAGATTTGTCACTCTTATTAGTTTAATAAAACTCTGATTGGCCAGTAGCCAGGCAGGAAGTATAGGTGAAGTAACCGGACTAAGAGAATTCTGGGAAGAGGAAAGGCAGAGAGTTAGTCACCAGCCAGATACAGAGGAAGCAAGGTAAGGATGCCTCACTGAGATGAGGTACCAAGCCATGTGGCTAAACCTAGGTAAAAAAATTATGGGTTAATTTAAGTTGTAAGAGCCAGTTAATAATTCTGAGCTCTGTTTACACATACTCCCTCATTCTCTCTGTCCTGTCCCATCCTGTCCCTGCTTACTTCTTTAATCCCCAGTATCCCTCCCTCTTTAATAATTTTGTTTGTATTCTGCTGTCCTTCCAGTTCTAAAACGTTGATTTGTTAGAGTGACTCCCATCCGATTTTCATGTACCCTTCCTCTGTCTTCAGGCTTCAATTCTGAGATGAAACACCATGACCAGAGTACCTTGAGGGAGGAAATGGTTTATCTTGCCTCACAGCCTGTAGTCCATCAACCAGGGAAGTCAGAGCAGGAACCCAAACCAGGAACCCAGCAGAAAGAAGTACTGCAGAGTCCTTTGAAGAGTTGCTTAGTAGCTTGCTCCTTATGGCTTGCTCACCTGCTAATCCCACAAAATGACAGGAAAGATCGTCAACCCAATTTTTGGTCAGATTAAGCAAGCTTCATTTTCTGCCAGACAGTGCTATATCCCTAAATCAGGGTTTGAGAGAATAGCATTGCACACAAGAGAAAGTGAAGTATATATAGCTTGAAAACGGAAAGACTGGGGGTTCCAAGGGTTTTGGTTACATAGGAATTTTGCAAAACATCTTACCAGGATGGAGGTCAGGGTATGGTCAGAGTATAGGGTGCCAGAAAATGGCTCAAGACCTTGCCAAACTTAAGTTTTACAGAAAACAGGAATGAATTTATTCTGACCTTGTAATAAGATGGCTTCTAATCTTAAAATGGAGTCCGATTGGTCCTTCACACCCTGCCTTCTCATAGCACCCAGGACCACCAATGGAGGGCCACATCACCTACAGTGAACCGTGTCCTCCTGTATCAATTACCAATTATGAGAATGCACCCCAGGCCCATTCACAGGCCAGTGTGGTGGGGGTGTTGTCTCTGTTGAGATTCCCTTTTCAAAAATGACTCTGGCTTGTGTCAAGCTGGCATAAAGCTGGCCAGCACCCTTCCCGCCAGCTCCTTTCCCCTCCCACGCTCCTTTCCGTGAGGATTCTTTCTTGACTTCACAGGCATAGATTTTTAAAACAGACTATGTTCTGGGGTACCTGGCAGGAGGTGAAGACAGGTCCTGAATTTAGTTTACTTTAACTCAATGCAATAAACTTGGATTTGACCAAGAAGCAGCAAAGCCAACCGAAAACAGCCTCCTGTTGAACTGTGTATTCTGTACAGAGGAAGCTGACTCTCTTGTCAGCTTAATCTGTGTGTATCAGGTATCTGTGTTATGTGTGAGGTGACCGGTTTCAAAGCATTGGTCACACTACATATATGTGAGAAAATAAAACGTGTCAATTCTGAGGTAACATGCAGGGATATTCTGGCTC